CCTCGCTGAATGAACCTTCGTTGCATACCAAATTTTCATATTTTGATAGGTAAGATGCTTATAAAGGAGGCTGCGAGAGTCAATGAAATAAAGAGCTCAGTTGGGCAGTAGCCAACATCACATTGATTTTCGCACACTTCGCATTTTTAAGTTTAAGAGCGCAAGCCGCACTCTATGCCTTTCCTATGTTATTCAATTAGTGTATATTATAATGTTTTCTCGAGTCTGCTTTATTAAAGTAATTGCTGATCAAAACATACTACAATAGTTAATTAGTAGAAAATGTCCAATTTTAGTATGTTCTAGTAAACGGTATCATTTAATCTCACCTGGATCTGCAACTATGGGTCCAAGTGGATCAAAACGAACACGATGTTCGACCGCTGCGCGTGCGGCGCAGACGAGGTCCGAAAAGAAACGATGTCTGCGTAGAGCCAATTCGTCGCGACCAACTGGTGTGGCGGGTGGTTCTTTCGAACCTGGCTCTCCAGTTAATGGATTCTCCTCGAAAACTTCATCGTCGTCTGAAACTGGTTCTTGCCTAGAACACTGTTCGCTCATATCATTGCTGCTACTTGCAGTCGATTTTAAGATCCCTGTAGATTTACGTCGTCCACCTGGCCGCACATCAACATTCGTACGTGCCAACTCTTCCTCAAGACGTGCAAGCTCGTCTAATGTGGCCGAATCTCGGCGGCAGTCCACCGAAAATCTCTTAAAATCCAATCTACTCCGTTTGTAATCGACTGAATATCTTTTCTTGGATAGTTCCCTTTTAGTAAGAACCAGGTCAATAGCATCTCCAATTTCCGAAGCATCTTCGAAACCTACTTTGTTGTGTTCAAGTTTTTCTAGACTTTCTTTTGCATTAGACGCGGGATCCATAGCACATACAATCTTTTCTTTGACAATTTCATCAGAATTTTGAGTGACATTCGGGGTTCTTGCAATTTCCTCCAATGTATTTTCATCTCGTTTGGTCGTATCATTGTTATCGTCTTTTAAGTTTCCTTGTGTTTCTTTAGTATCAGGTCCAATCGTAGAATCCATTTTTTCAGACTTAGACTTGCTTTTGCAAATTTTTTTATTAGGTCGAGCACAACAACTTTTAAACATAATTTTAAATATTCAGAACATTAAGAAAATATTGTCTATAGTTCAAAATTTTAAATTTTACTTCCATAAGCAATTGTTATAATACAAATATTGATTGAAAATTACATCTTTGAACGAGAAACAGTAATAAAATGTTAAATTTCAATAATATTGTACAATAGGCTAATCGCAGCGCAATAGAGTGTATTTATTAGCGAAGTATTTGGATTAGAGCGAAGCGATGGTGTCGGCAGCCAGCCGAGCGCGCGGCGGCGGGCGACTGGCGGCAATGGCGCAGGGCGGATGCGCCGCCCGCCCGGCGCATCTTGCCACCCGGTCACCCGCTTCCACAGGGCTCCTATCACCTCAGAACCCCAAACCGTTATCTCCCAGTCGACTCTAGGTGCTTGTGTTTCGCTTGTTAATTTATACGTCCACCTTTTCTTTATTTCAATTCATTTAGTGACAATACTCGGATAATTTTTTCCATAATTTTATTATCGCTAAAATATTATTTCGTTAATTATGTCAAATAAAACCTTACGAATTTTGGATGAATCAATGAAATTCTTTGCACGTTAAGTGTTGACTGAGACCGCAAAAGAGGTAAAGTTTAAAAATTATAGATGTTAGAGATAAACATAGTAGCTGAAGATTTATCATTGATCATCATCTGTCGGAGCTAGAAAACGACGTTACAGTACGCCGTCTGTCCGAGAATAAGATAAAAACAAACCAATTCGGGCAGCGTTCCTGCGGATACAATAATAAAATACGGAAAGCGCCATTTCTAGCAAACATCATTAGTAACAAGAATATCTGCTTTACGTGCGTACATAAAAAGTAATGGTACCTAACAGATAAGAATTATGAGTGCACTAGTGGAAATAATTTCCACGGGTGTAGTACATCTCACTGATCTTACTAAAGATGTATTATTTAAGACCTGAAACACTGAAAAACTGAAATTTATATATTTTACCTACTTCTACAAATAAATGTATCCTTGTCTTTTAGGAAATTATCATAGTTATTTTTTAGACTTCTCGATTATCCGGTTTTAAGACTTTAATTCAAGAATATTTAGGTCAATAATGTTTAACTAAGCAAACAAAACACAACAAAAAATAAAATTTCCATTACTCCATGATAATCTGGCAACTAGAGTAAATTACACGTTATGTATAAACTACCCATAGATATCCGTGAAACTCCCATATGTATGATATATATATCATGATTAAACTCCCTGAAGATGAAGCCCGCACTAAACTATTCCTTTAGTGGACGCACAATGTTTTACGTATATAAGTGTGATATTTCGGGATAAATTCCAATAAAAGACGCGAATAGCAACATAGACGTTTAATCGTTCACGGCAAACTGACGAGCGCCATACATTTTG